TATATATATATATATATATCATTTTATTATTTTAGTAAGTGATATCAATACGTACATCATCAGTGCTATCATATGCGGAGTATGCGTCTTTTACACAGTCCTCGTAAGTTTGATATTTAAACAATTTCTGTATAATATTAATGATGATGGGGATGACATTATTGGGAAATGAATCGATGAAGACGTATTATAACGGAAGTTACAACGTCATCAAAATTTTCCTATCTAACGCTTCCGGTAGCGTTGTATAGTTCGCTGTTAAGTCGTAACAACCATAAAGGATCAAGCTAGTTTAGGAGGATGGTATCTCGTCGTCAACGAATTCTCGTTTGCGTGATTCGAGTTCCTTCGACTTGTTGGGGTATGGGGGTGGGGGGTGGTTAGGGGGTAGAAAGAAAGAAGGAATGAGAGAGAGAGAGAGTGTGAGGAGAAATGGGGTGAGAGAATGAATGGGGATGAGAGGTAGAGAGAAAGAGAGAGAGAGAGAAAGAGAAAAGGGAAAGGGCCTGGGAGGAAACAATTTTCGGTGGACAATGCCGCGAAGAATCTCGTGCGAGCACGGGCGAAATGTTTATGGACGGAAACTGAAAAGGTCGACAATAGCTCGTTGAAACAATGGCGTCGTCGAGTGGTGTGCGCTTGTTGGTTGGTAGTAGCAGATCACAAAGCCAGCCTTGAAGTGATTAATCGCGGCTACCTACCTACCTACCTACCTACCTACCTACCTACCTACCTCCCTCCCTACCTACCTACCTACCTATGGAGGCCCGCGTAATTATCCGAGCAATTTGTTCGACCAAGATATTAATGAGAATTTATCGCGAACGAGTGATTCCTTTGATCGTTTAGATCCCCCTACGACATCTCATCCCTATCATCTCATGATCATACCGATTATTCATTGTTTTTTTGTTTATGTTGTTTTCTCTATTCAGGGTGGCTTGAAGGCAGTAGTTTGGACCGATATGCTTCAAGTAATAATAATGATTCTAGCTGTATTCATCGTTACGGTCATAGGCACTTACCAAGTTGGTGGTCCATCCGAAGTATGGCAAAAGGCACGAGAAGCTAATAGAATAGAATTTTTTAAGTAAATCAAACTTTCCTTTTTTTTCTGTACATTTTTGCGATATCGTGTCATCGTTAAATTGAAGAATTTATATTATTGTTTTTGTTTTTTTTTTTTTTTTTTCATTGATTAGCTTTGATTCTTCTCTATACACGAGACATACCGTTTGGAGTGTTCTAATTGGTTCTTGGCTGTTTTCAACGGGATACATAGCTGTGAATCAAACGATGGTTCAACGGTATACATCATTGAAAACTATCAAGGCATCTAAATTGTAAGTGAGTATAACCAGTGAAATTTTATATTTTGATTGATCTTATTAAAAGTAAAACTCTATTGTAATGTGATGAAATGAAAACATGATTTATTTTTGCAGAGCTATAGGAATATCTATTACGGGAATAATTATTTTTATATCGCTATGTTGTTGGTGTGGATTGGTTCTTCTAGCTTGGTGGTCACCACCAAAGTGTGATCCAAGGGCTATCGGTTTAATTAAAGCAGATGACCAATTACTTCCAGCTTTCGTAATGGAAGCTGCTGGTCACTTGCATGGTATACCTGGTCTCTTCATTGCTGGAATTTTTGGGGCTGCTCTTAGGTATAATTAAAGTTTTTGATTTATTTTCATAAATATCCGATTAAGATTAGTGTTTATTTTTTTTGTTTCAATTGAAATGTCTTTATCGTATTTGCTTCAGTTCTCTATCGGTAGGATTTAATTCTACTTCTGTAGTACTTTTAGAAGACTTCGTGAAGAGTTGTTTCGGTTTAGAACCGAGCGAACGTTGTTCAACGATATTGGTTAAAAGTATCGTTATCATCCTTGGTCTAATCGCATTATCTTTTATTTTCTTCATCGAAACATTGGGTGGCATTTTAGTGGTCGGTATATAATAATTTTGTACATTTTTTTTTTTTTTTGGATTCGAAGAACATTTTCTATAGATATTAACCGTAAAAATATTCTTTTATCGACGATTGTGAAGGTTACCAACAGTTTAAGCGCAATTGCAGCAGGAATTTCCTTTGGGGTCTTTACACTTGGTATGCTTTTCCCGTGGACCAATTCTCAGGTAGTACATTATAATTGGAATAATTATTCGTTGTTTTGAAAAAAAAAAGAAAATCGTATGCAGTATTCAATTTGATGTTATTCTTCTTAGGGTGCCTTCGTAGGTGCTGTTGTAGGATTTTTAATAGCTGGTTGGGCATGCTTGGGAGCAAACATATCAATTAGTTCTGGTGACATAGTACCAAAAAAGCTTCCAGTACCATTGACTCAGTGTCCACGAAATATAAGTCAAGCTTTTTTAAATCAATTTGAATACAACGAGTAAATAAATTCAAGTATTTAGCAAATATTTTCTTCATGAACATTTAATTGTAAATATTATTTTGTATTTATTTTACAGCGAAGAAGATGTATTCGCTCTTTACCGATTATCCTATCATTGGTTTTCTGGACTTGGTACCATAATAGTAATCGTAATTGGAGGAATAGTTAGTTGGTTTACTGGACCAAAGGATCCTTCTTATGTAGATAGAAAATTACTGTCTCCGGTTATACATAGGTACTAATTGATATTTTATACAAATATTTTACGATTATAGTATCTGGTAATATAAAATGATTTATATTTAATAATTGTAATATTTAATGCTTAGGTGGTTACCTTATCCAAAATATCAGAATGAGGAATGGTACCAAAATACAATTGAACCTCAAGCTTCGGTAAACCTTTTATTAAAAAATGTACCGACAAAATTCAGACACAATAATACATCCGAAAAGGTATCATTATATTTGAACATATCATAGTAGATACTTTTATTTGAATATGCATTGCTTTAAGATCTAATCTTGAATTGTTTACAGAAGGAGAATCATTATGACGTAGCAGTTCCTTGACTATATCCAAATGCTATAAAAAACAAAAGTTTAGAAAATATTACACGTGTTGCTTTCATAATTATGTAGTACTTAAAATGCAAAACTCGTGTTATCAATTGCAGCTGATAAAACTTTAGAATTATAGTATATTGGATGTATAATGATTTATACAAAAAGAACGAAGTGTAAAACGAAGAAAAAAAAAATATATATATTTTTATATGTTCGTAAACAATTTCTATTTCTAATCATCTCGTTTAATTATTATTTCCTTTAATTATTTAATCATTATATCAAACTGTTCTACTGTACATTACGTTTTCTTTAATTGAAAGATTTAAAAAAAACAAATCGACTTATTTCCTAGAGAGATAACTTCAGTTGACCAAGGTTGAAAGTGGTAGGGAGTACGTTAAGAACAGGACGAAGAGTAGCATGTAGGATGGAATATGGTAGTAGGAATAGCAACATAGAGAGAGCCAAAGAGCTAAGGACTCGTCCTGTCCAGTAGCGTGTTCCTGGTCGAGCGGTCCACTCGCTTCACACCGAGTTCTCTAACTGAGTTTATTCGGTTTTCAAGCTTTGGTGATTCCCGACGGTAGCTGCTATGTGAAAGACGAGAGAGAGAGAGAAACAGAGAAAGGGAAAGAGAGAGAGAGAAGATTCGGACGACGATGACGATGGGAGAGGCAAGGCCCCAGGATATTAGCCGGCTTGTTAAGGGAAAGCCAACGCCGTCAAACGTCCTTATTAAGGCCACGCAAATAACCCGGCCGCTCTCTTCGTTCACCTACATGCCTTCTCTCTTTCTCCCTCTCTCTCTCTCTCTCTCTTTCTATCGTTTTCTACCCCTCTACACACCTCTCTGACGTTGGAAATTCAATTTTCGCCGACCCGAAATGCGGTCGGTCAAAAGCGGCGCCGTCAGGTTCGATATTGTTCGCACCACCGATCGTGTACCTTCACTCAACACGCTTCGCCAGTTTTTGTCACGAGTTTGCTCGGATCATGTTGTGTTGGCGAAGCTTATTTAACGATAGAGGGCCGTGTGGAATCGGGTAACGCGACATTATCTGTTTCTAGAAATGAAGTGGTCTAACAGTTGATCTTATCGTATCGTTACCATTTTTTTCTCAATCTTTCAATTTTTATCTTCAACCATTTGTTATTTTTGTCTGTAGTTTTTTATCGATGAATAAAGGCCCTAAATATGAAGTAACTAATCAATAGGTTCCAATAAGAAATCTTTCTATTAGAAATAAATTTGAATTCCTTAGATCACAGAAGGTATTGAAATTAAGAGTCTCACATTGATTTTCTTTCTCTAAGTTCTCTTGGAAAATTAATGTATATTATTCGGAAACACCCCATATATCGGATTTTATGTGTTCTGCGTTTAATCATATTGAAAGCTCTCACTTGGACGAGTCAATATTTCTCAGAGAGAAGTGACTGAGAATACGGTTCTCACTGGGAAGGGTCCGATCGATACCCTCCGATGGTACGACTTAGATTTGACGTTCGTCCAATTTGTCTGAGCGCGTCAGGTTCCATCTACTACGCTTAGGTATCGACTACTCTATCTCTACTCACTCTTACCACAGACTTCTCTCTCTATTTCTCTGACTATTGGCTTATCTATTCGGATAATATTGACCGCATCGAAAACGTTTTGCATCAAAGTGCATTCGTCGATCTGTAAATCAAACGATTGCGCCAATTTTCTGACATATACCTATCTCAAAATACCAACGTGATACACCTACTACATACATTTCATCAAAATTATTGGACGTTTCTTCGAAGATCGTTACAAGACAAAAATATCATAATAAGATCAGGGTTAGCTCCTAGACGTTCCTCGTTTGCCATCCATATTTGACGTAAATAACGATCGCAAATTTATGACATAGAGAATTGTAATGAAGCACGAACCGAAAAAAGAAAGAGGAGAGTAGGTTTTCCGGTCTTTTTGAATAAGAAAAAGAAAGTAAAGAAAGAAAAAAAAAATCGATTTCCCGCGTTTTCTTTCTCCCATTGCTTCTTCTTTTCCTTTCACTTTTCTTCGTCGAGGGTCTGGTCTGTACCATATTAAAAACGTCTCGTAATTATAACGAGTAACGTTGGCGAAACCTTTCTCTCGTAGGTCGACGAAAACGCTCGAAAGGCCGGTAGTAGAAGCGCATTACGTGAGCGTTTCATTAAAAGCTTTCGTGAGTGGGCGCGCGAGCGCACAAGAGAGCACGGGGACACCATGGTAGCAGCATAGCACAGCATAGCACAGCACAGCACACGTTGGAAAGAAAATTGCGACTTGCGGAGGCTGCGTGCGAAGCTTTATTAAGCGCGCTTCATGCGCGATTTGCATTCGTCTGGGTCGGTGATAGATTTGAAATTTCCACGTAGAACGTGCGTTGGATACCTATATAGGGTCGAGGATTCGAACCGAGACGAATGGTACGTCGCGTGGAGAAGCGTACCTACGTAACCACCGAGCGTGATTGTGTCTATCTGCCTTTCTACGTGTACGTATATATGTGTGTGTGTATGTGCACACATCAATGATGTATTTTGCGTTTGTAGATGTGCACGTGTATGTCAGTTAGAGAAGGGGAAAGGGAGGAGGCAAACGAAGAGAACGATATAGATGGAAAGAGTGAAAGATAGCTTGTCGAGGGAACGAGAGAGATAGAGAGATAGATAGAGAGAGAGAGAGAGAGATAGATAGAGAGAGGGAGAGAGAGAAGGAGAGCGAGAAATGTGGATAGAGTGAGGTCGTGAAGCTTGAATGGGGCTAGTTTGAGATAGTTAGCGGGCCTTCAGAGGCACAATCGGCCGCGATTGGCGGGCCTACAATCACACGTCGCATTATATGTCCATCAACGCGGCGGATCTTGCAAATACGTTAGCGGACCGAAGCCAACGGGTTAGCAGCCACAAAAATCTTGAATTCGAAGCGACATTATGTAGGAGCTCGTACGGTTACAGTACAGGTCAGGTTCGAGTCGATCTAATACGTATCTGTAGATAGATATAGGGAAGGCTTTAGAAGACCTCATCGGGGAAATCCTGTAGATTCTGATTGCAGCTGCTGATTTCTTCCTTGCAATTCTGGAAATGCTGACAATTTTTCAAGCTTCACAATTTCTTTTTCTTTTCTTTCTTTCTTTTGATATAATATATATATTTATTAAGAAAATGAAGGATAGGTCAAGGAAGTATTCTCAAGGAAGTAATTGTTTCAGCCTAATTGAACTGAGGCCACAGCTGCGAAGGAAATAATCTTAATATACCCTATTAGAGTTAGAAATCTTTGAGCAAATATTGTATCTTCATAATCTCGTACTATCGTCGTACTATCTTAGAATTATCATTTGGTAGGAATCGAATTCTTTTGGGAGTTAATTGGCTCCACGACGAGGGTAGTTACTTAGGAGACTAGGATTATCCTTAGCGCGGTAAGTAAACGAATACGTTTGTATTTCTTGCTCTTACTGTAGGGTATAAAACCCACTAAGAAAATGCATCTGCATATGTGCAGGTTATTTGAGTAATAAATACTGAACAATAAATTTCCCTAATATAAATTTCATATTATTTAGTTGGGTTTTTTTTTTTTAAATACTTCAACCGTATATTCTACATACGATTCAAAAATTTACGATTTAGCAGTTGAAGGAGTCGAATCAGATGCAAACAAGCGTGATTATTCGAAACCTCAGATCAAATGTGGTGGTGTGCACGAGATTCAGGAGAGGAATGAGGGACCTGGAGAGGGACTCGAGCGACTAACGGAATAACTAATTTATCAATTCTTCGGTTCGGTTGGCTCCGATACCCCTGGCTATATTTGCGAACTCGTGCAAACGGGGACTCCCTATTCCCAGGGTGCATCGTCGTCTTGTTTGGACACGAGAGGGACTCCAGAAAGCTTCGGCTTACGAGATGTCAATATGCTATAAGTGACGAAGGTTTATACGCGCCGAACCAGAAAGCTTTCAATGATTGTACAAAGTATCATGACAAATTCATCAACGCATCGCTTACTATATAAAACGAGGCACGATAAAATTATAATATTCTGTTGTATTAGTTTAAGGATAATTGATCTAATCTATTTTCACGAGATACTATAATAATGTAATTTTTTAATCGAATGATTTGTGTCAACAGTTAATCTCGATACTGAGGAATACGCATTAATGACAACACCAACATCGTATCAATATTAACAATTAATTAAGATTCAATTACTTTAGATTAATAGTACTGACCTACATTATTTCAATTGGTAACAGCTTATTTAAAAAGTTAATCCTCGCAAGAAAAATATATATCTCCCGTTGTAGCTCGTTATTGTGCCGTGCGTTGGCGCCACCGAAGCTATTTCACAGTTCAATCAATATAACATGTTAAATTATTTTTAATATGTCGAACAGTTTATAATTCAAGACAATTTTTATTGTTGATTAAAAATGGCTGGAACCTTGACGATAAAAATAATCAATTAAATCCTGTTTTCTTGTTGCTAATTCAGTAAGGTTAGTTACAAGAAGGTGGTCAAGGAGTAGGGAGATTGTGAGTGGTACGGTATGAACGAGAGTCGTTCGTAAAACTTGAAAATCCGTGGTTCATATCATTCTCGACTCCAATGGTCAGTACAAATAGATACGTTTGTAATTAGAACGCAATTTTGATTGAAAATGTAAGTTTTGTTGACACGCAATTCACGCTACAATAATCAAACGAATATTCTCATATATTTCCCGCAAATTGTGTTTTCATTTAATATTTGGTATTACAAAATTTTGCGATCAAAGTGAGCGGAAACGTTGGGGTGTGCGGAAAGGGGGAGAGAGATGGAGGTAATATTAATTGAATAGTAACAGGGATATCATCATCCAGGATAATATTAATTGAATTCCTGAATCCACATAAATGATTTATGTAATACTTGAAAATACCTATAACAATTTTAAGATAATTTATGTGAAAGACAAATGAAATTAAAAAAACAAATTACAAAAAATATATCTTCGTTTATTTTTCTTTGATGTCAGTATGTTAACGATGTACATCCGCGTATTGTGTAATAAGATTTGCCTTGTAATCGTAAAAAAAAATCTCATATCACAACTCTTAGGGTAGGCAATTAATTAATTAAGAAGCAACGATATACGTCAGAATAATCATCATCGTACGATGAACAACATCATCTGTTATGAAAAATGACATAAAGAATATTAAACGAAAAATAAATGACTTGTATGAGATAATAATAATGATCGGTGAGAAAACGGGGACAGAAATTGTCGCGATGCGTGAAAAAAAAAAGTCAGAAATACTTCCCAAACTAGAATGCAAAACACTCCGAATTACACCAATCAATATTCTTCGACTAATCCTTCGGGAATCCTGATGCTCGTGTCACGTTACCCTTTATTTATTTATCTTTTATCTGCTGCTTTCTTTTGTCTTTAGCCTCTCGCAAGTATTTCAAAGCATCTCGAGATTACCAGAAAACTGGAGAGTTATAAAGCGACTCTCTTCGTCTAGATTTCAATGAGAGAGACTCCCATGGGAAACGATGGCGTTACTCCGAGCCCCTTCATATCCGAACGTTAGCTAAATAAAAGTAGTAGCACAATATCGGTACTCCTGTGTTCTACACCTCTTTTCTATCTCTTCCATCTTTCTCATCCTCCTCTTTTACTTATATTATTCTTTAGTGTCGCGTGTATAAGTTACTGTAATAAAAGGCAAGCTGTTTTTTCAGAAATTTTCATTTGTAGGACCCTTTCCTTCTTCGTACTAAGAGCATGCATTCGAACAATCATTTTTTCACCAGATAATGTATATTACTGTCTCACTCTTTCCTACCATCTCTCCCCGTTTCTTCTATTTTCCAGATTTTTCTTGTTTCTCGTATCCACTCGCATGCTGATATTATACATTTGGTAATCTTTTAAATCTACATGCTCCTTTCACTACAGCTAAGTTTTTGTGTTATAAAATTTGCGACAACTCTTGTTATTTGACGATAGATTTTAATATTATTTCTCATGATTATTTGAACGATTGTTACGCAAGTATGAAACATTATTGTAATAACATAATATTATGTTAAATTAATGTTTTCTTTAAAATAATTATAAAATAAATTAAAATTAATGGCAAACTTATAAATACGAACGTGTATGTATATAATAAAGTTAAATTAAGACAAAATCAGTAAAAGGCAATCGTGTTTCTTCTTTTACACACACAGAGAGAGAAAGAGAGAGATAGGGAGAGAATGACTGCAGTCCTGGTACCGGTCGGTAATATTTCACGGTAACGGTATTTAGCTGGAACCGTCGCGACTGTCATCCGCGATGAAACGGCAAGCAGAGCGAGGGAAGACATTAAGCGTAATGAATTACCAGCTGAGAGGAGTAATGTGTCTTAATTACGGGCCCGGGCACAATAATTATGTAATTAGGCATTGTTTGCCGACCGGCCCCTAATCACAATCCCGATGTCGCAGCCTCGTCACGAACGGAGCCGCCGTCTCCTCCACCTCCACGACTAGCAGCTAGCTGCTCGTCGTGTTATCGACCAGCTTTCACGTACGCCTTCGTCCTTTTCTCTTACGTATAGAAACCCCTGATTTTGCTTTTCGCATCACAAGAGCAAAGATCTCTCTATCTGACTATAAGATTACATATGCCGGATGATCAATTTATGAAAGTATTAAAAAAATAGTTGTTTCACATCGATTATTTCTATTACTGCTAATAAAAAATTGAATTATAAAATAAGATGAATGAAAAAGGAAAAAATATAAAAAACAAAGGAGTTTTTTTTATTGAATCGTTTAAGAAATATAAATAAAATAAATTATCGTTCTCGCAGCTCAATCAGTCTGTTACAAATGTATCGAAGAAGCAGCAGGTCGTTAGAGGGATACGCATTAATATTTATATGTGAAATCAAATCCCTAAGCCGAGAGGTCTCGGTCTCCAACGTGGAAATGTAAGCACGGTATTCGAGTCACCTAAAACGCAAGACAAACATTACGGGTGTCTCATGAGCTGTACGGATTTCCTGAAGACACATCAGCCAAGCAAGCACCAAAGCCTAGTTCATTCAACTCGCGAACTATTCCGTACCAATCCGCGGTTAGCGAAATGGTAACCCGCAAGAAAATTTACATCGCTTATCACGCCCCTATGCCTTGAGTATCTTAGATGAGAGAGAGAGAGAGAGAGAAAGAGTTGAGACAGGGATTAAAGACTGACGGATTTAGCTAAATCTTTAGCGAAAGAGCTCGTGGGTTCAATTCTCAGAATGTATTTTGTAATAACATGATTTCATAATATTGTTATTTATGATTTTCTACTTCCCATATTTCTATCCCAAGAACGTGAAACGGAATAAAGAACAACGATAAAAATCTATGAAGAATACCGTACTAACCCCCATTTGCATTGGTTACTTTTGCGAATGGAACATATCTCGCGAGCTACATTCGATTAATTTGCATCTAATCAGCTTCCGTTAGGCGTTTTAAACAGCGAACCGACTGAAAAAGGATTTGGGAAGTTGCCATTAATTTTCATTCTCGGACACGGTTTACGCCCGGCACCATTTCTCCCGCAGCTTTAACATTGAAAGGACTAAGGGTGGCTGTTAGTCGTCACTTACTTAGTTACTCGTTTTACTTACGTTCCTTGGTCCCCACTTACTTTAATCGGTCGCGTTCAGCCCGTTTCAACCCGATTTCCACTTGTTTTTACGCCTATCCCTTAAGGCTAATTCATTAATTAATTCCGTTTGTCTCCTTCATTTCACCTCTACTACTCTCTCTTTCTCTTTCTCTCCCTTTCTGCATTTAGAGATGCAAAGACGTTTCCATCCCCCGTTTCACTTCTCTTAGCTCCTTTCGTTTCTCCTTTCTATCTTTTCTACTGTCTCTCTCTCTCTCTTTCTCTTTCCTTTCCTTTCTTTCTATTTCTTTCTCTCGTTCCTTTCTTCTCTTGCTGTTCTCGATGCAACTCTCTCGCGGAATCTTGAAGCACCGGCTAGGTGCTCACTAATTAAAGTAATTACTAAATAAATTGCAATTACACTAATGGATCGGCTAGGACGAGAAAGAGGAAGAGAATGAGAAAGACGACGACGACGACTACGACGATGACGACGACGACGACGACGACGACGACGACGATGGATACAGTCGTCAAGAACTGTCTTCAAACTTTTCCCGCGTTATGTTGCCTATTTAGACGAATCATCTCCTCTACCTTTCTTATACTATTCTTCTTCCTTACCTTCTTATTCAAACTTCTCATGAAATCATTTCTACTTCGCCATTATTTTATCGATACAAAAATACAAATGTTTTATTTTTTCAATTAACGATTATACTTAATGTGTTTTGTACTTTTTTTTTTTTTTAAATAATACTTTATATTTACTATTCAAGTATTACAATAATAATTTTATTATTAAGAAATTGTGAAAAGAAAGTAGTAGATAAAGTGCTCGTGAAAAAATACGTATTAGAAAAATGTATAGAGAAAGATGCGACCATGTCAGTTCGTTGATTCAATTATGCATTGTTATTTTTGGATCCAACGAAGCAGCCCCTCTCTTTCATTCAGATTATTAGATGAGCTCAAAGTACGAGCTAGCGCAAGCTTTCCAACCTTTTAGCCTCGCGAAAGGGTTAGCTGGTACTCACCCCTTGGGTCGGTCAGCAAGCAACGACATTTCGACGTCCTAACTGCTACAAGGCGAAGGTCCATGAAAATTTCAAGCTCTTGGTATCTACATTTTCTCATTCTCTTTTTAACATTGTATGGTCTAAATGTTTGAACGTTCAATTGGATATGGTTTAATTAAGAAAGAAATTGGGGGAATGTACAAGATTGGTTAAAATATAAAATGGGCAAATATAACTGAAGATATCTGACGTAAGTATGAGACAATTCCGATTGTCACATTACCGTCGTCGTCGTCGTCGACGTTGTTGTTGTTGTTGTTGTTGTTGCTGCAAATATCAGCATGGAAGCATGTTATCGCACCTGGGTTATTTTTCTCAATTAGCGATATTACTTCGCAGTGTGTTGTATTTCGCTAGTCCGAGAGCGTGAGTCCGACAGGACTGATTTGTAGCGTAACTGTGAAGGCTACCGTGGATGTAAAAAGTTAAAAAAAAACCAAAAAAACAAACGAAAAAAAGTTTCCGTCCGTGCGTAGGCCACGAGAACAACGCCTTGTTAGCCGGATGTAATGACGTTGTTCGAAAATAGAAATACTAGCGGGACAGCGGGAAATTCAAACATGCAATGTTCAGACTAGGTTATTGCAAAATGGCGGGTATTTTTAATTACACCTTAACGTCCATATATATATATATATATATTCAAATGCAAGTTCTAGAAAGATTTCAGAGATAAATACTTCAAACCATTATCGAACTGGTCGTGAAGGTATAATTTTGAAAATTAAATTTGTAGGCGTGGCGTCCATATTCGGTTGCAACAAAACAAAGGAATATACATATAGCGTTTCATTACTAGATCCCGAGTATACATGGTACATTTTATTTTCCGGCAAAAGGTTGAACTGCAAAAACGAAGTACAGGAGTGCAGTTAATTAATTATTCCCTTATTAAGCGTTGCACTACGACGAGCTAGACGTGAAGAGAGAGAGAGAGAGGGAGAGAGAGAGAGAGAAAGAGGAAAAGAGAGAACGACTGCAGTCGTCTCGTTTCTAACTACCTTGCGAAAATTTCGCTAAAATGCTGCTCATGTGGAAATGACATAATTCGCGTGCGGCAAGGGCAATTGGCAGTAATTAAAGTGGAGAAGAGGGTGGTTGGGGGGTAGCGGGGCATTAATGAAATTAAGGCGGGTAGCGAAGATGGCCGTTTACACGGGTCCACGTCTGGCCGACTCTCTGTCTCTCCCATTTTCTCTCTCGTTCTCGCTCTCTATGCTGCGACAA